AGAATGTGACAAATAGCATCTTTTATTAAACCTTCCCGGCCTGTGTAATTCCCTGGTAATTCAAACCCCTAGTTTTTCTGTCAAATATTTCTAGTCTAATGGCCTGGTATACCAGCCTTTTAACATGAAGCACCTTTAATTCAGTGGTGTACAACGGTAAACAAAATCCCAGAGGAGGACAGTAATGAGAGAATAAGTCCCTTAGTTAAGACTCTCCAGTTGACCCAGAATGCTGCACATGTACTGACGAACCAGGACAACAGATCATATTTCTCCTGTTTCAGCTTCTCCGCACTTGCTCCCTGTAAAATCCAGAATATAATTTACAGTTTTTCTGAATTATTTAAACAGTATAATCAGACTTTTGAACTAAAATATCAAAACTATAACTTAATTTTTCCATTAGCACACCCTAAATTTTACATACAAATCCCTTTATTTGTCATTGCCTGCACCATGTGGTTGTTGAGAAAGCACTAACATTCAATATATTATATTATCAAGTCAGCACAGGTTGAGCTCAATTAGCCCTCAACTACCCAGGTGGAAACACAAACAGTCAAAATTGATAACAGACCAATCAGAACCTTCAATACATAGATAAAAGGGTCAAAGTCAGTTCATTCAGTTTTGAAACAATGGATCCAGAGACATGTTAACGAAGACGTAGAGGACACCAGAGAGGAGGAGGAGGAAGAGCAGTATGGAGAGCAGAATGAGGAGGAGATGGGATAGGAGGAAGATTAACAGTAGGAGGAGGCGGAGCAGGAGTAGGGTGGAGGAGGAGTAGGGAGGAGCTGGAGAACGAGATGGAGAACGAGAATCTCCGGCCTGTCCCAGACCAAAAACAGGTTGCTGGGGCAGAATAATTTGTTGTTTGGTGTGTTGGAATAAAAAATGTGCAAATGTATGCATTTTTTGTGTCTTATGTTGTTTGCATCATGTGAAAAGGTTTTTGAGGGGGAGAATCTGTGGCAATTATTCTTTATAAATAATTATAAAAAGAGTGACATAGTAAACCTCTGTTATGGTTTTGCACTATATAAAGAAAATTTAATTGAAAATAATAATAATAATAATTTAAAATTATTTATTGAAAATAAAATAAAAAAAGAGAATTTCCGGGAGCTATTTTGACAGAGTTCAGCTGGCTAGTGTTATGGCATTACTGTCCTCTTACATTTAATTTTTTATGTAGGATCTTTTAATGTTACTATTATTATTACTATTCTCGTTATGGCTTATAGATATATATGTAGTATGTTTTTATCCTTAAACTTTCCTTTCCTTATGTTGGTCTGTTCACATTTACTAGGGTTTAGATCAGAGCTGTGAGATTGTTTTGGTGTTTTCCCCTCTTGTTCCTCTCCTCTCCTGGAATGTTCATTCAAGGTCGAGAGAGGATCTCTGTTCCCCAAAACATAGAAACCTAGATTGTGTATATGATGATGCATCCCTTTACTCGGGGCCAGACGCCCAAAGCCGCACTAGGCGGCAGGTCTCTGGACCAGCTGTGTATGTGTTTTAGTACTTCTCTGTTTATTCTCTTTTGTTAATAAAAGTTGGTTGTAACTCAATTCTTTGCTCAACCCCTCACCAGGAATATAATTTCCACAACAGCTAGCAATTAAGTGGTTATCTTGCCAGCTACATTAATTCACTATCCCTGTGAGTATAGTCACTACTTCACCAAGCTTCAACAAAATGTTTCCCAAAGACGCAGGTTTAAATTTGCTGTACCGCTTTCTGGTATGACCAGGCCCTAAAGTCCAACTTAAAAACCCTAATGACCTCATCATGGTTATTGTTGCAGACGAAACAAAGCTCCTTCAGAGGCAAAGAAGATATTTTACTACTGTTTTCACAGGCTGTATATGACATGTAAACTGATCTTTTTGTGCAAAATCGTTGGCTTGCCTTTTTAACCATAACCCTAATTAAACGTGTTTTTCCCGTTAACGATTGTCACCCCTCCCTGCGATGCTTAAGTTGATTGCAGCTCTTAGTGTTTGTATGTGGGTGTTTTAGTGGGAATGTGGATCTTTCAGATCACTTTGAGAAGTACCTGTGATCTCGTTCCACATTTTATTGCGTGCCATTCAATGCAGGGAACTGGTCTTGGTCTTGACTCTCTCTCGCCCTCCCTCAGTCTTGGTCTCGACTGCTCTCAGCCCCTAAAAGTCTTGGTCTTGTCTCGGTCTCGATAAACTCTGGTCTTGGTCTTGACTTGGTCTCGGTTTGGGCGGTCTTGACTACAACACTATTACCCACAATGCACAGGGGCAAAGGGGGTGGGGGGGTGTTGGTGTTGGTTGCATTTAGACAAAACCAGGTGGGGAAGGTGTCACAGCCTACATGTCTGTCTGCTCTGAAGAGCTCTATCAGTTTCTTCATAGTAACTATGTTTTTTCAAATACAAATTATGATCAGTATCCATGCATGCTTATGATATGACACCTTTGAACTGTATTGTAATGACTTTGAGCTTTGAGAAACTTTGAGACTTTGAGAAATATCAGAGACAATTAAACTGGCTCTACTACTATCACTGAGCTTGAGTCAGACAGTGGAGGGTTTAAGAAGCCAACACATATTATGTTTTTTTCAAACACCTGTCCATACAGTAACACATGTCTAACCATCGGCAGCTGAGATCATATTACTGAATGTCTGTCACAGAATCTAGTATGCTGTCCTACCTTTCCAGCACAGCCTACGTCCTCAGTCAAAGAACAAACACTTTAACTACAAAGCTTTGGCATTGCAATAAAGTGTAAAACACCCGTACTGTGTTGTATTCTATGAGTATTGATTTTGGAATATATTACTACAGTACAGTGTATTGCCCTGCAGCAGTCCACTCTTCAGACACAGCGTCTGCTGCCCCCTGTTGCTTCTTTAGCTCTCTACCAACCATACACCCTATTGGCTCTAGGTCATTCTTTTGTCATTGGCAGCTGAACTATAAATTAACCTCCATGACATGAGAAAACACAAGTTCAAGCTATGTCTGCTGTTTTCAACTAATGTAGGCCTACAACATATGTCTGCCATATATATTTAGAACACTAAAATGTGCTTTAGTGTTAGCTTAGCAACTCAGCTGAATTTGCTACATAAAAAGATTGTATCATCGTTTTCATTATTCCTGAGTGTTGTTTCCCCCCTCTCTTTTGGTGCAGGTATACACACAGGGAAAGCCATACATATACAGTACACTGCAATACAAAACATACACTAATGCATTTCTTTCTTGACAATAAGGTTAATTGAAAACACAATTTATTATTATTGGTTGTTTTTATAAAACATAGTTCACCTGTAAGATGACCAGAACTTTAGTTTAAAACATTTTAAAAAATGAACTAACATTATCAACAGGATGTGAAGAAGTAACAGTTCTGGTGTACTGTATTGTACCTTTAAAGAATCATTAGTCATAGTGATATATATATATATATATATATATATATATAGTTGGATAGTCTTTAGTGTGCAAGGGTACAGTATACTTGCATTTTCCTAGAAGACGTAACAGAAGCTCTTATGCTGAAAATGCAAAAACTGTGTGCTACTACTGTAGTGCTACTTCTAAAAAATGCAATACATCCGCCTATTTTAAGGATGAAATTTGAAGTTGAGTATCCTGTTGGCGGCACTGTGAAAACAATGCCAGAATCCACAAGGTGGAGACATTTGTAGATTATTTGCTGTGTGTGTTGACCCTGCCCACACTGTCATCACTAAAAAGTTGCTTTAAATGAGGTCATCCATAAGACATTCCATTTCCAACGCAACAATCAAATAAATTACAAATGTGTAACTTACTGACAAGATGCAGTATGTGTAGTATGAGTATACTTTTTTGGTAACAAGACTGGATCAATAAGACAAGGGCTAATCAGTCATACCAGTTGAGGCATCAGCAGGCAGCTGATGATCCACTGAATATAGGGTAGGATTTTCCCCAGCCACACTATATAATATATACACAGATATATGTTGTAAGAAATAGTAAAATGTAAAAAGAAATAAAAGCATTTGACATGAATCCATTCTGTGTTTAACTATACCCAGAGCATTGCTCAAACCTGGTTGTATTAGTTCCAGTTACAAACAGGATTTTTATAATGAATACATTTTGATTGCATTATGTCTCCTTCTAACAAAACTCATTACATGTCCATTTAAGTTTAGTAAAAACTGTGACTTTTGAACTTTTTAAAGGAAAGGAAAGAAGAAGAGTTTAAAGAGTCTTGCCTGCCAGGGATCAGAATAATCTTGCATTAATATTATTATTCATTTCAACAGGCGAAGCTGGAAATACCCTGCTGAACTCATTTCATGATTAATACTCTGCAGCATACACTGAGCCACACCTTCTTAAGTCCTGTATATTGTCCACTGGTAACCTGCTGACGAAAAAACAATACAATACTAAACATATATGGTAAAGCAGGTTGAGTAAATGTCAAATGTTCCGCTTGGAGAAAAAAATCTATATCAGTGCATCCAGATAAGCAGTGCAAAGGTCAGGGCAGTGTCTCTACAATATAGTCCTGCCACCATGGAGTGATCATATAGGGGCAAAGTGCTTGGGAAAGAAACAATAACTCACTGCTGACTGATAAAACTGTAGAATTTAAGTGATTTATTGCTCATGTGTGTTCTGTGTAGTTTGGGGTCTGCAATTGGAATACTTATAAGGGACAGGGGTTAATTATAATTTATACAGTGATAAATTTATTCAGATGTAAAATGTGTTTTTTTCCTGAGTGGAACATTCACATTTGATGCAATAAATAGTTTTTTAAAATTTCATTACCAGTTTGTTGTCCCATCACATTCCATCTCACAGATCATCTGTCTCTTGCTATTATATTTCTTTTTCTTTTATGGTCTTCTAAATTTTATAGCCTCGATTTTTGGAAACACTATTAAACTACTGTCACTTTAAGAGACCAGGAAGTAGCGCGCATCGTCCTGCTTGCAACACCTGGGTGTGGTGTACAGTAGGCTAAATAACAGAAGTACTCCCGGGTGGAATCAGTGTAAGATTACACACTATTGGCCACAGTATGTCTGCCGCTGAATGGAAGAAGCGATGTGAGGCTGAGTGGGGTATGCGGGGCTCGCTGATGCCCGACAGCGTGGACTGGAAGTTCGTGTGTGAAGCCAAGCCGCTCGGGAGAAACTTACTGCGGAACCCTGCGCCTCACGGTACCACAACAAAGTTGACACATATTGTTTTCCTTTTCAGTACTGATCCAGAGGACAGGTCAGAGTTCAGTGATCCTGATCTACAGTGGGCCTGGAGTTCAGTGCTGATACAGATGCTGCTGTACATTTCAGCCTACCAGCCTACAATAACTTGTTTTGGGTGTTTCAGAGTTTCATGTTTACTTGTTAGATAGCAGCTGTATACAGTTCATAATCAGAAGTAGTTTTCATCTTCAGTAAAACATGGAAGAATTGAGCCAATAGCGCGCAGACTTCCTCATGTTAGTTTATAAACTCTATTGAGCAGGCATCTAAATCTGAAATGCTCAACAGCAACGTGTTTTTAAAGCTCTTTTAAGATATCAAAATGTCTACGTGAGAAGTGAAATGGGAAGAAATTGTGACATAGGATGTGATGACTTTAAGAGCTTTGTGTACTTTAAGCTTTATTTAGTTAAATCTCTCACTAAACCTATAATTTGCAGATGTTTTATTCTTATAGAAGAAATCAGTCTAATCAAATAATGATGGAAAGCAGCAAAATAATTTTTAAGAGGGTTGCTGATTGTTTCTTGGAAGCATTTAATATATATTTTTAGCTGCACTTCTTCCTCCATTTACATTAAGCATTAAACAACGGATAAAGTAGAGGAAAATAGTGAAACCGCCATGCTGTCATTTTTTGTAAACTCATCACTCATCACTGCAGAATGCAAGCTGATTCTAGTCAGATTCTACGATGACGCCAAACACAACTACACTGGAAGTTTCTGTGTGTCCCAAAATGTAGACGTGAGCATCATGAGCTAGTGACTAATACTTAAGTGTCTGTTTTTCACACAGAGGCACACCCAGTGACCCTGTCAGAAAGATCTATTCTGTTGCTTAATGATATTTACCGTGGGATTGCATCAGTAGGTGTGGTTCCGTTTACAGTTGTCCCTTTGTCTTATTTCCCACACAGGATTGAGTAAGGACGCCCCTCCACCCGAACCTGAGCTGCCTGAAATGCCATCAGATGGACCTCCACGTTTTCAACCTGATGGTGAGGGACTGTGAGCATGCCTGGTAGCAAGTCAAGATAAAGGAAATGAATGCAGTTTTGTAAACTCTTGGATCAGATAAACATTTCTCTTAATTCATAGGCGACTTCAGTGGCTGGACCACGAGCACGGAAGTCCTCCCCTATGATACCAGTGGTATCCCGCCAGGTGCTATGATCTGTGCTTTGCCTCAATACAGGTGGGTGTTACTGGGGATCAGGGTCATGGTACCTACAAAAAGGTTTATCCCAAATAATGAGCTTGTGGCAAATTTGACTCATGTCTGCTCTCCTGCCCTCAGCTGGTTCTCCATGGAGCAGGTTGTGGACCTGAAGGCAGAGGGACTGTGGGAAGAGTTGCTGGATGATTTTCAGCCTGAAATAGTCATCCAAGACTGGTGGGTTAATGAGCACGGTCAACACCCACCTCCAGCCCTTGTAACAGACCATGCGTGATTACTTATCACTGTGGTCTTATCAGCTTAGTTGGTACACATGTAGACGACACCATGTAAAGCACATTTCACTGTCTGTACATGTGATGCAGGTTTGCCTGTCTGAATCTCCAGGCTACACTAGTATTTAACTGCTAAACTGCATTGTATTACGATTTCTTGCTACAGCATAAACATTTGATTATCTGCCATTTTGTCAGGTATGAGGAGAGTCAGCTGCATAAGTCCATCTACCAGCTGCATGTTAAGTTACTGGCTGCGGATAAAAGCACTGTGATCTCAGAGCACACTGTCAACCCCACCGAGGACCTCAGCACTTACTCACACACATGGAAGGAGGTGAGTTACTGACAGGTAACAGGCCCCTTTACTGAAGGGCCAGGATTCCAAGTTTTCATTCTATGTCTCTCTTGGCCTGCAGGTGTCACATGTGTTCTCTGGCTATGGACCTGGGGTGAGATATGTCAGCTTTCTGCACCGACTGAAGAACAAATTCCTGAATGAGTTCTTCCCCACCCTGTTCACCGGCAGCTCAGTGATTGTCAAACCAACCAAAACCAGCTACTAGGCTGAAACCTACTGAAAACTGCAATGCAGACATAGTTGCTGACCTACTAATTCTAAATAACCCGTTTAACACATTTTTGCTTTTAGACCAGTAATTATAGGTTTGATTTGAATGGACTAAAAAAGGAGCATTATAAAGTATTCAGTCTTTTTATTTACTTTTGTATGCTGATTTTTTGGGGTTGGTTTTAAATTTGGTTTAAATTTTGCATTTGCTTTTGGATATGGAAAATACCTACACTTTGTGCTTTAATAAAATCACTGTTGTAACAAAAATGTTCTTATTTCATAGTTAATTTCTTCTTTCAAGTAGTGAAACCTGTGTCTGGAAAAAACAAATCAGCATGAAATAGACATACAGTTTTCCTGTATACATGCCATTTGCATGATTTAAACACTAATGACTTGTTAACATTTATAAACTGCGGGCTTGAATTCTTACTGGAAAGTGAGATATCCATGAGCATTATTTTTTTAGCATGATGGGCTTACCTACATTATTACCAAATAGAAAGGATCAATAGAAACCAATGTGATTTTTCACAACCAACCCTTAAAATGTTCTTACTAATGGCAACTACCCTACACAGCAATACTAAATTATTCATTAACCATCGATACAGCCATTAGGCTAGTTATAGCTATTAGAAAGATACATTTGCAAGTGTTTGGAGACATGGATGTTGCTATTAATATTGTGTTTTCAACTTAAACTAACTCTGAACTGAGTTGTTATAAGCCCCGGTGGATGAACAGGATATTATCATACTATATATGCAAATTTGTAGTGACAAGGTGAAGCTGTCTATATCACAGAAATTTAGCAGCTTTGCAGTTGCGCACTTTCCCCTGCGTGTGCTGCCTTAAAGTGCTCTCAAAAACAACTCGGACGAAATAATCACAGGCCTGCTTAAAATACAAAATAAACCTTTAATACATATTGCTGCTGGAACAAAAACTAGCTGTTTCTCTCCTCTTTTCACAGGATACTCAATGGCCGCGGAAAACATCTGAAACATTTTAATTATTTTCACACACTTAAATTAGCGTCAACAAATCGCTTTTACAACTTGACAATGTCCGAAGCGAGAATTTGGGAGGAGACCGTGAACGCCGCACGTCATCCGCCGCGTGGGCTCGCAGCATCCCCCCAGTTAGTTAACGGCAATGTGAGTTAACGGGAAAGTTCACTGAGTGAGTTCAGCTGTGTGTCGGGACGGGGATAGTTTTACCAGGCGTGTGTTTCCAGACTTTCAGACGCAATGCCAGCCTTCGGTGGAGCTGTGCCATAAACGAGAAGGTAAGAGACGAAGAGAAGAGAAGGATACCAGGTCAGGTGCGGAGGATAAACTGTATTTTGGGAGACTGCTAAAGGCTACGCCCTCGTGACCCATCTGTAGTTTCTTCTTGATAACATTAATGTCACTGATTTTGAATATGTACAGGGTCACCACTCCTTTGATTTCTATTAACTAATGTATTAATATAATCTCTGATTCAAACACACTATTACTCAAAGCTGGGGGTTATAAAAAGTTTAGCTAGGACTCTAAAATTAAAAAAGTTATTCTGTCATGGATGAATTGTATAGCCTAGTTATGATTGAGCAAGGAAATATATTAAATACATATTGTAAAGGTAATAGGTCAGTAAAGTAAGTGACAAAATAGAAAATAAAAGCGTCTGATCTCTAAGAAGTAAAAGTACTCTACACAAAAGTATTAATAACTAGCTTTATTTGTATTGCACTTTTCTAAAAACAGTGATTACAAAGTACTTTAAATACAGTAAACTCAAAAGCAAGAATCAAAATAAAGGTAAATGTAAATAGTAGCCATTCTCAGCTCACTGGCACAGCTGGCTGAAATCCAACATGGTTAAACAGATTTTGGCCAAAACCTTGACGGTATAGTGTGTGTTTCAACATACGTTCACAACTTGAATGTGGATCACCGCTGGAAGCTGTAGGCACATCATGTAACGTTTGGTTGATGCTAGAAAAACACATCTATCCTGCTGCAGCTGCAATATGACATTTCATGGCTCAGCTTAATGACAATGCCCTGCTTGGTTGCTTTGTTTGCCAGTAGCAGTTTCTTCTGGCTGAAGGAAGAAATTTAAAGTAGGCTATGTCTTACCAAGTGTGTATTCATGTCGGGGAGTTCTTGCTGGACACTTAGAAGGTCATATTGATTTTATTCTGAAAGATCCCTCTGCTTTTACTGTGACATTTTCTGATAAGGGTTGAACTTCAGAGCTGACATTTAACTGATATAAAAGCATCATTCATTTAGCAGATTGGCTGCGCCACATGCAGTGTCTCACTCGCCCATCTCTTGTGTCCATGACAGGACCGGCTGCCCACAGGCATGTTGAGAGTTGGTGATGTGTGAGACAGGAGGCGTTGACTGCGGGTCCACCCCCAGTGCCAGTCCATTATATTTGATTACACACATGATATCGCTTATATCTCTTTTCAGATAAGCATCCAAAAAAGCAGAATAATGACTCTTTTGGTATTTGCATTTCTTTACTCATGCACACACTGTTCTTTGATGTTTCTCATATGTTATGGACATGTTACTTATATTTATTCATAATATTTGTAGTGTATAAGAATGAATAACGATGTACTTTGGGTCATTTCATCACAGAACACTTACACACTGTATCTGAGATAATTAAACACGATAATGGCAGAAGCAATAGAATGAGGATATTACAACAAATTAAGGAAGTTTTGTTATACTAATACAGAACTTAGATTTACACGTTGAGCTGAAATCATTAGTGGATTGATTTGTTAGCCGGCAGTCAATCGGCAACTATTTTATAATTAATTTTGAGTCACTTTTCAATCAAAACTGCCAGAACATTTGCTGGTAGCAGCTTCTTAAACGTGAGTATTTCTCTTTCTCTGTTGACATTGCTGTGTGTGTGTGTGTGTCCTTGGGCTTTGGGAAATTGTATTGGAATCCCTTCACTGACATAGACAAAATGGTTAATCAAGAAAATAATTGGCAGATTCACCCATAATAAAAATTATTGGTAGTTGCAGCCCCATCTTGTCTTTGGCGGCATCTAAGCACAAGGAAGGACAATGTGTTGGGGTTTAGAAGGTAAATTCAAGCAGTCCACCACTAAAGCTTACTGACACTTATCCTGAAATGCAACCCCTCACCCCCCATAGGTGACGTCTCAGGTAAACCAATGCTGCAGCATTGTATGCAGGCACCGATAAGTGCACCATCGCAAGTGCCACGGGACAAAGGGCTATACTACACCTCACATTTCTCTCACGTTTCCCCTATGATCAGTCAGTAAAACTGTATAGCTGATCCGTCATTAGCCGCCACTAGATTTAGGGAAGTTAAGACCTAAGGATGCGTCTCTTTTACCCTGAGTGAATTAGATTACAGTATCTCATTTTGTTATTGATTTATAATGTTTCTAAAAGACTTATGAAGGCCAAAACTAAATATGTTAGAATCTACGGCTGCACGTTATGGTTAAAAATATTGTGACAGATTTGCGATATGATTCACGATTACTGGGAATGATTATTTTTTCATTTTCACTGACAAAAATATCAAAATCATGATGTGATATTTACTGTAGTCTGTACCAAACATGTTTTCTTACATCTGCAGAACACGATTTGCAGTCCATGCATCTCTGCAGCTCCACAGTACTTATTATAATGCTGTTTTGTCACACACTTTACATTAGAAGATTGCAGCTTCTGTGATTTGGATATTGCACATGGCCAAATTGTGATTTTTGATAATTTTTCAATTAATTGTGCAGCACTGTTTGAATCCGAGAAATAATGAAGCTCTATGTCACAGCTGTCAGTCAGGTTTGTTTAATTTCTGGTGATCTTGTTTGACAATCATTATTTAAACTGTAGCTCGACAGTGTATATAATGGGTAGTATTTACCAGCTTCTCTGTTAGTGTATGTGTAGTGTGTGTGTGCATATGAGCGATTAGGAGAGGAGAGTTAGTGGCTGTGGGGGTCTGTTTTGTTTTCATTGACTCCCCAGTCTATTGTGTGTTCAGGCCTGCTGGCTGCCTCTGCACATTTTGTTAACATTTTGTTGGTCTGAACTAGATTGTTGCCCTGAATTCAAGCGCTCACAGTGAAGAATAAAAGGCACCACAAAAATGTTTCACACGGAAATATTGGTGAGTGGTTTGTTGGCTTTTACTTTTACTTTATTCTTGAGGTTGCTCCACCATGTGAGGACATCTAGTTAATGGACATTATAAGCTATATGTTAACTCAGACTGGGTAATAAGTAGAGATTTTCTTCTTAATGAGTCACATCGGAAAAAAAGCCTCCATTTCGAAGATTAGTGATTGCTCAGGTAGTGACAGTTTGGCAATAGTGCAGTTGCTGCAAAGTGCAAACAGCAATGTTTGTACAATTGACACCATCACTTTATACCACCCCTCCTCAAAGCCATCCGTATCGGTCTGTTATTGATGTTTCCTACAGTATCCTTACTATTGCATAATTGGTGTCCTTGTTTGGGTTCATACTGAAGTTGAGAATGCTGTATCTTCTAAGGTGACAGTGGCTGGGCAGGGTATCTCAGGTAATGGAAACCTCAGGAGCTGCTGTCTGTCAATCGTCTACTAACCCCTTTCTGTCCACCTCACCTCCGGCCCCATGCGGCCTCTCTCTGTCCATCTGCCTCTTCCTTTACAGTGAGCCTGCCTGAGGTAACACATGGAGACATCTTAGGAAAAGGAAGTGTGTCATAATGTTAGCGGAGGCAGAATGACTCCAGGGGGAGAAACAAGAGACAAGAACAGCTTAGAGATGTCAAATGGATTGTTTACCTCAGAATCAAACTGATTAGAAAAGAAGTGAGAAGTTGAACTCCCTAACTAGCGAGCTCAAGGGGCTTCTGAAATCTCACAGTACGTAACTAACGCTTAACCTGAATTCACCCTTGGGTGTAGTAGCATTTGGTGAAAATATATACCATGAGAAGATTTAGGATTATTCCATGTTGTTTATACTATGATAATCAAATAAAATTTGTTTGTTTGTCTCATGAACCATTATACAAGTACAATGTTTAGTGAAATGCTACATGTTAATAACATAATATACACTGCTAGTTGAATGTCCTGACAACAAAATCACACAAAAATTATCAATGGAAATCAAATTTATCAACCCATGGAGGTCTGGATTTGGAGTCACGCTCAAAATCAAAGTGGAAAACCACACTACAGGCCGATCCAACTTTGATGTAATGTCC